GTTTTGTTTTAATGAAATGAATAAAGGAATTGAATGAATGAATGAAGTTAGTTGCGTGGTCCTTTGTGACTTTATATTCTGCAAACTGTTGGCTTTTTGACCGAGGAACTGATCACGTTTTCTTGATAACAGAAATGTTTTCCTTTTCCATTTTTTAATGAAAAACATGTTTGACAAGAAAGATGAAAATAGTTTGAGTTTGTCACCCACATCCGCACATTATATTCTACTGTGCAGTATGTGTTACTTTATGCAGACAAGTCAGTGTGTAATACTTCACATAATGAGCACGTTTTCACAAATAAGTCAATTAGACTGAAGAAGGAACCATTAAAGTTAAAGCATTATAATATATCTATAAAACCAGTCACACTCGAATTTCAAACTTGAGAAAGCAGAAAAAGTTGCTATAAATTTATAAATGTGAGACGATTATGACACGGTGCGGCTGTTGCTCGTTCCACCCCAACACCGCTTTGATTAAAGGTCAGACGAGGAGACGGAGCGCACGGGAAGTCAGAACTACTGGACTGTAAACTAAAAAACGCACCGAATGCCTCAGCTAAAACTTCATGTTAAAACTAAAAGCAAAAAGTAAATTCTATGCATTAAAAAAAGATTTTTCAAGCATGGTTAGTTGTGGTTTCTCCTTTCAGAGCAGTTAAAACAACGGATGGGAGACAAAAAAGAAAGGAGGAGGAGGAGGAGACTGTGGCGGGAGCAAGGTGTTCAGATAGGATTGCCTTTATCTCAGTTCAGGAGAGGACAAAATTGCACTAGGAAGCACGTGCACCCACACATGTCAGAAAGTGAGAGGCCAGATCAGTGCACTCTGCAAATAGACGTGATCTTGCTCAGAGTATTACAAGATTAAAAGACACAAGTGAAAAAAAGAAGAGTAAAAAAAAATTAGGTCATTTCCAACTGAAGAGGAGAGGGATTAAAGAAAAGAGGAGGTGCAATTAACATCTCCAGAGAGGGTTTTTTTTTATGGTTAAGGGTAGGTTGCATTGTGTTATTTTTGTATGAATAACAAGATGATGAAGTGCAGGCTCTCAGCCCACGCTTACTGTACTCTGATTTCAATTTAAAAAAATTAAATAAAAGCTGGAGGGGGGGAAACGGACTGCGGCGAAGCTTTTATCCAGGACTGCTGCGTTTCGACACAAACAGACATGCGACGGCGTGCTCCTCAAGCCGATGCGTATTTTTAAATGTAGGTGGGAAAATAACCGCGCTGAAATCCCTCCACCTCCACACAAAGCAACATAATGTGATCAGCAAACAATACGGAGCGGAAAACATTTCTGCTGAGATTTTTATTTATTTATTTTTTGCTAAATTTCACAGAGGCTTCGTTCACTAAAAGCAACCCAAATTGTATGGATAATTGCATCAAAGAGGACCTTAAAGATTGAAATCAGAGAAATTGTGGCTTTGTCGTCCGAGGCGACGTGTATTTTCACATTAGCATAATAAATCCCCCCAAACCGTCTTGCGGTAAAATTAGCAGAATTTGTCTTAGCGTTTTGTTCCAGGCGTTGTTAAGCAGGGAGAATTGATATTTAATTTGCATCAATTGAGTAGCCACATACACACCAACACAAACATCCACACAAACACACACCTTCTCTCACAGTCACTTAACAGCAGCAGAGGCGACGTTGGAGTATGTCAACATGAAAGCGTGAGAAGCAAAACAGAGCAGGGAGATCACAAGCATCACAAGCTGAGAGGGAATCAGGCTCGGAAAGTGTACAGTACCTCCCTGCTGAGGCATTCACTTTCTTCCTGTTGTCGTTTTTTTTTATTTCGATTTTTTTCCCTCTTCTTTCCCCTCAGTTTACTCATATTTTTCTCCTGAAGCAATCAGAGCGTCTGATTGTGGCGTTCCCAGAATCTGTTGCTTTAGATTTGAATTAGCGGCACCAGGACTGCAGAGCATCAACACGCTCCCTCCTCCACATTGTCCTCATGTCGGGCGTCACTTTGCACGACCTACTGTAGCTTATATTATATGCAGCTTTAATAGATTAAACAAGAAACGCAACAAAAAAATGAAATAATGCTCCCGAAATAAATTTAAAAATGTCAACAAGGGAAGACGTCCATCCAGCCTTACATGTTGGAGGAGAATGAAGACGACCACATTGTCCAGATTATATTTAGGAGTTCCAATGTAAATAATTTAATGTAATAGTTCATAGAAAATATAGAAAACACGACAAAAAATATGACCCAAAAACAAATATCTATGCAGCAGAGAGAGACTAAAACTTTTCTGCATTCCTGGAGACTCCAAGTACACAAAAGGTGCATTTTATGGTTAAAAAATTGGGTTTTGCTTGATGTGTTCCCATTAAATGGATAAAGATTGACTCCGAAATAAATTGTGGTTATAAACTAGCAGCATTAGATCTTATAAATGTTACGTTTTTTTTATTTGGGGGAAAAACTGTTCATTAATTTAATAAATCTCCCCAAATATTTTTATAGAATTTTATGAAAAAAACCTAATTACATTTCTAATGTGAAATGATCTTTGCATCTACCAATTTAAAACGTCAAAAGAAAAGCTTTTGTTCACGTTTTCATAAGAATTCCTGAAACAGATTCAGTTCTTTCGAATCAGACTCCCAGATATTACACTGCAATATGTTGGCGATAAAGCTGGTTAATGATTAATGTGTTGTGCTTACGCGAGGGAGAGAAAATAAACCCTCAGAACCTCCCATGTGCCTTCAGCAGGTGAAGTCAGCTTCAGGTTAGGAGCTCACGCTTTCAGGCCACCTGACAGAGAGCTGGCACGATGTGTTTGTCTGTACGGTCTGAGACCACGCAGGCTATTTGAAGCCACTAATCTGCCTCTTGATCTCTGGCCCACACTGTGCCAAATCTAAGCTTATGTTTCTCTTGAAGCCTAAAAGCTGATGTGAAGGGGAACAAAAAACAGGTATGAAGGCAGCAGATGCACAACATGCACCTGAGGGAGAACACAAAGATAACTGAGAATAGATTGTGCAAATTTTTAAAAATCTTTTCTATATAAACTGGTGCAAGTTGGCATATTTAGACTGAAGCTGGAACCGTAAACAGCAGAAAATTCCTGCTTATGCCACGTCCTCATTGTTGCACCTATTCATGCTCATCAGGTTTATAAAGCCGAGACCCGAGGTGTAATCAAACACAACACGTGATGCCTCCGAACACAGCCCAACTCAAGACACCTGTTAAACCCGCTGTCCATTTTCAACCACCGCTTCCCAGACAGAAGCGCGCTCCTCAGAACTGCTAAATTTTCAACCCTAACCTCTCGCCCTCTATCTATTCCTTAACATCCCCACTCCCGTTTCCCACCGCATAGCTTCAGGCGTCTCGAGCAAAATCAATCACAGTTTTGTGTAGCCTATATGAGACAATTTACTGCATCATCGATCTGGTCAAAATGAAAAATTATTTTAAAAACACGACCTGACAGCAGAATGGAAGGCGGGGAAAAAACAAAACAAAACATGGCAGATAACGGTGCGGTGAAATTAAATGATGTGAAATGACATTACATCAAATCTCTGCTCTAGATGCACACAGGAAGGGGGGGGGCTGAATTCTGATGGTTGGAGAGGAGGTGTCTGTAGATCTGTGTCATGTTCTTCTGACTAACAGCTCCTACATGAAGCAGGGCTTTGGACGACTCAGACTGCAGTGGTGGAAGATATTTGCTGGGTGGGTACACTACAGGAGGAGGTGCTCTCTACTACTCCAGGGGTCTCTGGGGTTCACTGTCACATTACTGTACAGGGGGTTCTCTGAGCTTCAGGTCACAGGATTACACCATCCAGACAGTCACCCACCTGCAGCAGTCCCCTGATACAGAAAAGGGTGAGAGTGGCGTTGGTTTTTCGGACAAAGGGGACGAGCAGCTTTCCAGGTCATTGTCCTCATCCATATAGCACAAGGGGGCTCGGACAAAACCCGAGTCATCCGTTCCTTGGGTTGGCGGCTGCTCCTTCCCCTTCGGCAACGATCCGGTCCGATCCTCCTCAAACACATCGTCATCGCCCAGTGGGTCTCCGGAGGGGAAACGTGACTCGGCGCCTTCCAGCAGAGTGCTAGAAGACTTGGTGATGTGGAGGTGGGAAGCGTAGCTGCTCAGCTCGGAGCCCTGCAGGCTGGCTGAAGTGGAGGATCGAGAGAAGGGGAGGGCGAGGCGGAGGAAGCTGGGGCCCGGGGCGGGAGGAAGCTGAAGGCGGGTGTTGGGAACAAAGGGAGCGGGGACGGTTGGGTTGGATGACAGACATTTGCTGGAAGGGACGCTCGTCATGTATTTGTAGTCGTCGGTGAGGGAGGGGATGAGGTGGGTGAGCTTCGGGGGCGGGGCGTTCGGGGCGGCAGCGAGCTTGCCGTTGAGCTCGTGCCACTTTTGCTCGAAGCCGGAATGCCCGTCGGGCTCGGGCTCCACGTCCAGCTCTCCCTCGGAGCACGTGCGGTCGATGAAGCGCAGCCCGCGGCAGAGGCTGTCCACGCGCTGGCCCACGTCGTTCAGGGACAGGGAGAACCTGAGCGAGCTTTTGGGCACGATGTGGACGGAGGCCGGACGGAGCAGAGAGAGCCAGTCTCGCTGTTTGGGGAACTTGGAGGCCGGCAGGGCGTCTGTGCAGACGGTGGCCACGGAAATCCCCCCCGGATCTTGACAACATTTACCGTTTGAGTTCAGCAGAACCACTGTGGTCTGCTTCAGGCCGTCCTGATCCTGACTGCTGCTGAGTGTTGGTGTGTGTGTTTTTATTAGGGCAGAGAACCATTTGACAGATGAAGACAAGACGAGAGGATGCAGGAAAGGACAAAAAAAAAAGAGAAATGAAAAAGACATGCGTTTTAAATGGTGAAATTCAAACAAATGATATCTGAAATTATACCTGACTAAATTAAATACGAAACAATCCCTCTATTATCCGTTCTACAGCTGGTTAGGCAGGGCTACTCCTGTGTGTTAATCTGAAAGCTGGGGAAGCCAAACATCACTGACTGATAAGGAACTTGACCAGTAAAAGACAGAAATATAGATTGAGTTTATTGCCCTCAGGGGTTCATATCTCTGTGGACACAGATTGCAGGAGGGAGCTGAGGCTCAACTTGTTTGTACCTGCAGATGTCCTGACTCGAGGGGGAAACGGATGTCCTTGAGAAACTGCACGGAGCGTTGACTGAAGTTGGGC